TATATATATATTGTCCCATCACATATATTTTCAGTTCAGTATGAGACTAATGTACGTATAAAACATCTCAAACGACATATATTTTTTTTTCTTAAATATTTTTAATTTTTACTCAAATTTAAAAAAGAAAAAAAGGTGTAATCTATGGATATTTGGATGATAGTCATACTTAGTATTTCTTTATGTCTTGTTCTTCATTATCCACTAGCCATATTACATTGTCCGTCCAAAGCTTTCTGTTTTTTTTTTTTATTTTACTAGACGTCCATACCTTTCTATAAAGCTTAGTTTTTTTCTCCATGGCAAGTTCTTAACTAACTTCCACAAAGACTAAAGTCACCAGAAATTATAAAGGTTACTAACACTACAAAATTCATCTACTAACAAAAAAATTTAAGAAATATCAAATATTTAAATTGTCTTTTTTAATATAATATTGGTCTAATTAAAATAAAGTATCAGACATTAAAATTTCACATTAACAATATTACGTATTATATTGATATTTAATCGAGCACTACAGAGAGATTAGAGAGTACGTACAATTTGTTTAATATGAGAAACAGACAAAGTTGAAATTCGAAATCTTCTTCAAATTAAAGAAATAAAATCTAGTTGGATTTTGGTTATGTTTTAAGAAAGTCACTGAACTTTATAGACCCAAATTAAAGCAGTGACCAAAGTGAGGACCGACTTCTAATAATTGTTTAAAGGCAGAGTGAAGTTTGGAGACATATGGTCCCGGCCAAAAAAATAAATATCACACAATGCTAAGTGTTTGGAATTTTTCAATGAGAAATTATAAATATGTGTTTGTAATTAGCTGGCTTGTGAATAATATCTTCGAAGAAAAGGTCAACTGGTGATGAAGGATGTTTCCGTTCATTTCCCTCTACCCTTCCTCGAAAAAGGCTAAATTTAATGTATAAAAAATCTCAGATACTATTTTTTTTTCTTCTTTTTTTTACCAACCATTGTAATTCATTTCATAAATATTTTAGTAATACAAATATAGATGGTTTCAAGACCCTATGTTAGTGAAGACATAAAAAATATATATATATAACGAACAAAACATAAATATAAAAATAATTGTTAGTAAATTTAATATATAAAATTAGATAATATAAAATATATTATTTTTAAATATATTAATAATTTGACTAAAATGAAAAAGCATATTTATCCACTCGCTATAATATATTAATAATTTGTCATGCCAAATCATCTTTATTCCACATATAATATATGTAGCATGGAAGTGAATTGAAATTTTGTCTTCTAATGGAAGACTCTATTCTCACTAGCGTTTTCAATGCTAACAAGGTTAATTTATATTTAAAATTTTATCTTCTTGTAGGTTTTTTTTTTTTTTTTTTGTGTGTGTTCCTGTAGAAGGCTATAGTTTTATTAGTGTTTTATTTTGGAAAACTGTCACATAAGAAATAATAGATCAAAAGTATATCTGTTTAATATTTTGAATAAATAAAAAATGTTAATATTTTTTCATTTGATGATTAACATTATATTGGAGAAATATTTAGAATTATTCATTTTAAAATTTGTCATACCGACAATTACTTTAGGATACTAATTAAGAAAATAATAAATAAAAATTATAAAACACACACATATATATATATATATATATATTAATAATATTAAATATTATGTGATTTTAATGGTTTTATTTTTAAAAAAAAATTAATCATTCTCCTTAAGACAATTGTTATAAAAAAATATTTTAAAATGGTGTTAACATGTTTTTTTTTTTTTTTTGAGGGGAGTGTTAACATGTTATGCACTTAAAATTTAGACTTACCTACTTATCTTAAAGTTTGTAGATATACCCGTGTGTGAAAAATGATGGATTTCTTTTCATCTGAAATTACATGAAACAATTTTGTTCGATTAAGAAATACTCTTAATTAAAGTTTTTTTTTTTTAATTCAATAAGTAGTTGGTTGAGTGAAGGTCTCATTAATATTAAAGATAGTTTTGAAAGAAAAAATAAATAAATTTAATGTTATCAACTAAATTAATTAACTTCAATTTTAGTGAATTAGACAATTAGATTTTATAATAAAAATACCGGAGGAACTAGAAAATATATATTACATGAATTAACTACTCATTAATAAATTGATAAATATTATTACTATTGAAATGGATAAGAAAATGATTTTTGTGCAAATATTAACGGAGAGTGGAGGACAAAGATATGCAGCTTGCATACACGGATAGAAATTGGCCAGATTACGACAGAAGTTTTTTCTTATTTATCAAAACATCATTCATTAAGAATATCTAACAACATTTACAATAAATAACACGCAAAACATTAGATATTTTTAAAAAATAAAGAAGAGCATCATGTGAAACACTATCAAATAAACACTTGTTGTTAGCCTAACATAGTACAATGGGCTAGTGTATGGTCTACAATATACTGGCAATAGATTTGGGTTACAAGTTGGAATGCTAAATGGACCAAAAACTAAATTAAAATTAGATTGCTACAGTTACCCATTTGTTATCTGTTCATACTTTAGATACGAGTCCAATTTTAAAGTTTTGGTAGACCAAACGATTGCTACAGTTACCCATTTATTGTAGGTTGCTAACACAAATACAAACTAAAAGAAAACAAATAATCTCCACTCTTAATTAACTGAGAAACTGAAATTGCTAAATAAATTAACACGCAGTCGCACACACAACCGAGGAGAGGGATTATCAATAATACTAGTAAATGTTAGAGAGTATTTTTTTTTCCTCAATTTTTTTTTTTTATAAATGTGAGTTATGACCAAAACAAAAAATTAGCATACGCTGTAATAAGTTAAGGTATTGATAAATTATTCATATTTAACATATTCATTTATTAAAATATAAGATTAAAAGGTGTCACACCTCAACAATCTATATATTTTTAAGAAAATAATAATAATAATGATAATAATAGTAATTTGTTTTTCAAAAAACTTTATTTTCACAACAATTTAAAAAAAAAACTTAGAAGAATCAAGTTATCATAACTCATATCTCTAATTAAAAATATGAAATTAACAAGGATTCATGTTGCAATCAATTCTTTTATATATATATATATATATAAGAGGATTATAATAATAATATTTTTTAAAATTATTATGAAATTACAATTTAAATGAGCTAAATTAAAATATAGGATTAATATGTCAACGTTCATTGATTAGCTTTTTTATATATATACTTTAAGTAAAATAATAAGATAACTATAACAATAATAATAAAATGCAAATAAAACATAAAGAAAAAAAGGAGATAGATAAACTTACCTCAAGAAAAAACTTTTGATAAATTCAATATAAAACAAATTTTATGTTATTTCAAGGAGATAAATTTAACTTATTGGTTGTAAGGTCTTTTCTGAAACACAAAAAATCAATTTAATACTTTATTTTTAGATTCTTGCTTAGGTTAAAATAATATTTGATTAGTAAAAATTACATCTTATAAATACATATTGGATATTTTAGATAAACCTTGGAGCAAATTTGCTAAACTAGTAATTTTAGCTGCTATCACTTTTACAATTGACTTTTGGAATAGTAGAAATCAGATGAAATTCCATAATCGCATTACTACACTTGAACATTTGAAAAACAAAAGCATATCACTTGTTAATTCTTGTAGTTCTCTCTCTCCTTTGATTATGAATAATAACATATAGGAACTTAAACTATTGAAAAGTTTTTTATTGCCTTGCAGGGGTAGGAGAGTTGATCATCCCGTTGAGGTACGTTGGATCCCTCCTTCGACTAGTTGGATCAAGTGCAACACAGATGGAGCTTTCTCTACCTTCTCCTCCTCAGCTGCGTGTGGGATCATTTTTCGCGACAGTAGGGCCAACATGGTTGGTTGCTTAGCTGTGTCAGTGGAGGCCAGATCAACACTAGAAGTAGAATTTTTGGCCGTTATTCGTGCAGTTCAGATTGCTCGGGATCATGGTTGAATGTCGCTTTGGATAGAGACGGATTCACTATTAGTCATCAAAGCTTTTTCTTGCCCATCATTAGTTCCTTGATGTTTGTATGTTCAGTGGTTAAACATGTTGTTCTCTATTAGGCGGATGAGGTTACGTTTCTCTCACATCTTTAGAGAGGGGAATGGATGTGCTGATAGTTTAGCTGGTTTTGGTCTTAGGCACATTGGTTTTTATTGGTGGACTTCTGTTCCATCTTGTATCATGACTTCTTATTCTAGGGATCGGGGTGGTCTCTCCAACTTTAGAATCTCTCAGGATAAGTTGGGACTGATATTTGTACTTGTATTTCTTTTCCTTTTTATTTAGTGTATTTTTGATATGTTGCAGATGATTGGTGTGGATTAAGGTGCTAACCTAGTTAGAATCTCTCTTTCACATAATGATGTCTTAGCATATCTATCTTTTTCAAAAAATTTGAAATATCATTAAAAAAAACATAAAACTAATTTTGAAATATCATTAAAAAAAACATAAAACAAATAAAAGGAAGTGTTACACCTCTAACTTAAAGCTCCAAGAACAAAAGTGAGTGGGAAAGAAGGGGCAAAAGAACATTAAGCTAAGCTACATAAAAATTGAATAAGAATTAGTGTGTGTTGGTAACTACACCGATAAAATAATTTTGGTCGGTTGGCAAATTGTACATAACTGCAATAAATTAAGGTTAAAAAGAAAAGAAGAAAAAGAAAATATTAGTATGCACGAATCATTAATACAAAATTTTTTTCTCAAAAGTCATAAATCACCTAACAAACCCAAACTAGTGGGGGAACAAATTTCAATGTACTAACATTTTATTGAAGATTAATCCATGAATAGTAAGATTCCATGGCATTAGTTTTTCATCAACTAGACAACTATGTGGATAATGTTGTTACCCAAAAAAACAAAACTATGTGTATGTTTAATATTACACTAACGCTTTTCAAACTCCAAAGTGCATAATAGTGAACAAAGGCGGAGCAACAATAATGGGAAATGGGTAGCATGTATGGGCCTTTGGTTATTAGGGTTGGGCCTGCGGTGGAGCTGGTGGTCCAGATTGTTGTCGTCTCCTCTTGGCCTTACCCAACAGGTAACATGCCAAAACCAATATCAAGATGAACAATATTAAGGGCAACGATATCACCAACGTGAAAGCCATTCTCGTCTTTATTTATATATACCTACGCCATACCATCTTCGTTTCTCAGAACTCCATGTCACAACAGCCAAATATATGGATACATATTTGTGGCTTTTAATATTCATGATTCTCAATTTAATTTTCCTAACTAGAAAATAATTATGACCACAAATAAGTTAATAATTAACAAATTGTAGAATCTAAATATGATGATATATAGTTTATTGGGAATTGCCACATATTGTTTGAAGAGGAAATCTGAGGGGGGAAATAAGAATTGAAAGATTAAGAAATTGTTGATTGCGTACCTGTTACTGATGATGTTAGTGAAGGAAGCAGCGTCTGCAACACAAAATCTTGAGAGGGATTGGAGTATTGAATAGTGGGAAGTGGCGCTTAATGATGAGAAAAGTATATTCAATTTTGGAAGAAAGATTGAAAGGAAGAATTGATGCGATCTGAATCTGGTGGAACAGCCATAAGGCAACACCGTTTGTAGTGAAACGTAATCCCACGTGTCACAACATCGTTCCAGACTTTCAAACTCTTTTACATGGTTTTAATTAAAGCACTAACTATTATTGCTATGCCGTAAAAAATAATACTCGTACAACAGTTATGTTTGATTTTTTTTTTATATATATAAACATGGTGTATGTCAGATCCCTTAACATAAAAAAAATATATATTTAAAAGTGTTATATTTGTTGAAATATAAAAGTAAAAACATAAAAAATTTAGGTTTATAGTAAAACATATATCATTTTAATATAAAGATTGATAAGATTGAGAAAAAGACAACAAATATAATAGAAAAGAATAAAAGAGGTGTTCCTGTGTTAGGAAACACACTTCAATTGTCCTTGTAGCGGGTCGGATCTTGGATCTCGATTTTCTCGTTCCTATCTGGGTAGTCCGGTGTGAGGGGGGGTGTGCCTGCAAAGACACTCCAACGCTCAAGTAAGTGCTCGGCGTAATAAATGCGGTAGGTGAAAGTTAGTTACGTACCTCGTTGGGACTCTATTTATAGGACTTCTTATTGGGCCGTGATTAGGGACTGGGCCCCAGGAAATTAGGGGGCTAATCCAATGCATTACGTTAATTAAGCTCTTTGAAATCGTCTTGGAGTAGGCACATGGTTTTGGCCGAGCATACTGTTATATTCCGTTCGATTCTCAAGTGGTCGGTATGTTAGGGCATTTGGCCAAGTGTTCGAGGGGTCGGGTATTCGGCCCAAGTGTTCGAGGGGACGGGTATTCGGCCAGGTCGGCCACCATACGGTATACAACCCCTGCAGCGTCGAGGATGTAAAAGACGAAGACGGTAAGAATTGTGTGACATCCTGGTTGTTGGTGGAAAAATAGGGGCGGTTTTGACAAGTCTCGGCATGGCATAGCCTGGGGTCAGGGCCTCGGGTGATTGAGATGTAGGCCGAGACCTATGACATCAAGTGAGAGAGATTTTGACCGAGACCTCTGACGCGTGGAGCGAATTTCACGACCTCATGGTGAGATAAATGTAGGCCGAGACCTCTGGCGTCACGTGAGAGAGATCTAGGTCGATCCCTCTTACGCGTGGAGCGAATATCGCGACCTCATGGTGAGATAAATGTAGGCCGAGACCTCTGATGTCACGTGAGAGAGATCTAGGCCGATCCCTCTGACGCGTGGAGCGAATATCGCGACCTCATGGTGAGATAAATGTAGGCCGAGACCTCTGATGTCACGTGAGAGAGATCTAGGCCGATCCCTCTGACGCGTGGCGCGAATATCGCGCGCTCATGGTGAGATAAATGTAGGCCGAGACCTCTGATGTCACGTGAGAGAGATCTAGGCCGATCCCTCTGACGCGTGGCGCGAATATCGCGCGCTCATGGTGAGATAAATGTAGGCCGAGACCTCTGATGTCACGTGAGAGAGATCTAGGCCGATCCCTCTGACGCGTGGCGCGAATATCGCGCGCTCATGGTGAGATAAATGTAGGCCGAGACCTCTGATGTCACGTGAGAGAGATCTAGGCCGATCCCTCTGACGCGTGGCGCGAATATCGCGCGCTCATGGTGAGATAAATGTAGGCCGAGACCTCTGATGTCACGTGAGAGAGATCTAGGCCGATCCCTCTGACGCGTGGAGCGAATATCGCGACCTCGTGGTGAGATAAATGTAGGCCGATACCTCTGCTGGACGGTGGTTAGGCCGAGGTTTAGGGATGAGGATATGTCGAGGCCTTCGATGGACGAAGCCTACACCGAGGTCCCAAGCTATTAGAGTTTGCGCCAAGGCCTCGGCGGGTGTGGCCTGCCAGGTTAGCCCTAGCGGTTACGGGTCCAACGGTTACTAAATCCAGACCGTTGGATGGCCTAGATCGAACGTGTGGGGTGTCGGGACGTCTTTTCACCTCCCCCATTTACCTTGCCTATAAATAGGGGAGGGGTTGCTGGTGAACTTACTTGCTGTAAATTTGCCGAGCGCTCTCGACTTCAGAAGTAATCGAGCAAACCGATCAAAGGTAAATTTTGTATTCTTTATTCTGCTTAATAAATGGATAAGGACTATTCCTCGGGTAGGACTTGTACATCTTCGGAGGCGTCGGGCCGTTCGTCGGATCGAGAGGAATCAGGTTCAAGTGAAATATCACGGTTGCCTCCCTTACAATGTGAAGTGGTATTTCCTTCCGAGTTTGCTGAGCAGGAGGATAGTGGGGACGCAGTGATAGAAGTATCACCCCCATTGACTTTGGCCGTGGCTTTAGCACGAGCCACCGAGGTGGATGATAGGGGTTTCGGACAGGTCGGCGAGCAAAGCGCTCCGGCCTAGGTGACTCACGCCGAGGCGATTGAAGATGCTTTGGCAGTGGTTGATGATGGTCGGGGCAAAGCCGTGGCTGCTCCGAGGACTCAGCCAAAGGTGAAGATTGATTACGGAACGGTGGAGATGCCCGGGTGTGAATGGGTAGACGGAGAGGTCGGAGTGTACTTTTCAAAGTTATCCGACCAAGAGTTGTTGGATACTTTCGTGTCTTTAGAGAAATGTTTCGGGAGTGGGGAGGACGAGTTCTCGTTGCTTGCCGAGGCGTGCGAGGACGATGGGCCGAACACTGTTTTCGTGTTCTTGGAGCCAAGATCCGATGAGGATGACAATTTCTACGCCTATATGTGTTGGTTTCAGGATCTCGGCGTGACATTGCCCTTCGATGATTTTCAGATGGGAGTCCTCCGTGCTTTAAACGTGGCGCCGACCTAGCTACACCCTAATGCTTGGCCGGCCATGCAAGCATTCCGTAATCTATGCTTATGCCTCGGTCTAACACCTCGACCTCTTGCCTTCCTCTATTATTACATTTGCCAGCCGAGCAAGCCGGTGAAATGGGTGTCGTTATCTCGAGTGCCGAAGCGTGGGTTTCTCCGAGCATTCACCTCCTCTTATAAGGGATTTAAGAGTGGGTTCTTTAAGGTTCGTTCGGGTTCTGATTTGAGACATTGCTTCTTTGACCGGGAGGACAACCCGCTATTCCCCTTCTATTGGACGAGGCGGCCGACGCGCTTCGAGGCGATACCTTTTTCCAAGCTCCCCGCTGAGGATAAAGAAATTGTGGAGCTTCTTAATAAGTTGCCGAAGGGCTTACCTGTCCAAGGCCTCTTGGACGTATTCGAAACGTCTCACTTCGAGATGGCCTTGCTAGGTATGTGTTTTAGGCTTCGGTAGTGTAGCAGTGTTTTGAATTGATGTTAAAACTTCTTTCGTTGCAGGATTGATGGCTGGAGGGGATCTCGACGTGACCGCCATGCTCGCCAAGCGAGCCAAAGATGCTAAGGCCAGTGGGAAGGTGGCACCGGCAAAGTCGGGATTGAGGATTCCGAGGGATAAGCCCTCGCCTGTAATAATTCCCTTGGCCGACCAGAGAAAGAGGACAGGGACCTCTCGGCCACGTCAGACTGACCAGAACGTGGAAACCGAGCAGCCGGGCACCTCCTCCAAACGCCAAAAACAAATAACGCTGGAGCAGTCCGGATGTGGGGGGTTTGCTATCCCGGCTGTTGTTGCTGGGTCAAATTTTTTGGCCCCAGCCGTCCAGTCCGAGAACTTGGTTAGCCCGGACCTCGCTACCGGAGGGGGGCTCTAGTATTTGAAAGGTATGTCTATGGAGGCCGAGTACAAGCTCTTCTGCGAGCTCGACGTGCGGACTTCGCTGGTGGCCAAGCACGTGATGATGAGGTCGGCTGTCTCGACTGAGCGACTTCAAACCCGGTTAAAGGAGGCCGAGGCGACAGTGAAGGAGGCCTTGGCTGCCAATGCTTAAGTTACAGAGTCGGCCGACGAACTGAAGAAATCGGCCGATGGCTATAGGAGGGAGGCCGATGACTTGAAGTTGTCGGTGCAGAGGATGAAAGTTGAAAGCGCGGCTGCGGCGGCTGAGATTTCTCGGCTGACCGAGGCGCATGCCAAACTAAAAGCTAAGGCCACCAAAAAATATCCTCGAACAACATGATGCGAGATTCCATCAAGCAGTCCGACAAGCCCAGTACTTCTGCGAGATCCCGGTTGACTTTAACTTTGACGTCAGTCGGGATTTTTACGGGGGTAAGTACATTAGTTATGCCGAGTTCCCAAAGGGGGCCAGCCCTGATGACGAGGCTCCCCGCCGAGGCATCTCCACGCAAGCGCCGGTACCTCTGCCTACGGAGGAAGATGACCCGATTATAGACGTGGTAGGCGATGGTAATCCGGACGTCTCGGCCGCGGTGTAGGAACCGGTTCTGGCGGGAGTAGAGTAGGTTTGCTTGCTTTTTGTAACCGGGCCGTTAGTGCCTTTTTGTAATTTGGCCATCGGCGCCGGTAGATAGTTACTTTTTTTTTTGTAAGTAGCCGTTGTGGTCAGCCATACTTGTTTTTAATTGAATTTGCTTTTCAACTTTCCGTGTATAATCGTTCAATAATATTAACATAAATCGAGTTGTATGTGTGGCCGAGAGGCCAGATTTCGTGATTTATGATAGTGTTCGATGCGCGTTGTGTTTGTTTATACGAGCGTGTTCGGTTTTCGTGAACGTTAGGTCATCTAAGCTTCGGCTTATGTTTATGCGGTCTATTAGAGTGAGTTTGTCGACGGAGGGGTTGGTCGGGATTAGTACGCGTTGTGCGTAGTGCTCGGCCTAGGGCACGAGTGTGTTTTGTCGTCGTTGATCGAATGTTGGTCGGTGTCGTCGCCATCGACATAGTGCTCGGCCCAGGCACATCCTTAACCGAGGAGGGTACTTGGGAGGGAAAACTGGGGCGCGAGTGCACATTTCAAACTTGACCGAGGATTGCTCGGGTTTAGTACGCGTTGTGCGTAGTGCTCGGCCTGGGGCACGAGTGTGTTTTTCATCTGTAGCAACCTCGGTCGCGACAGGACGGCGAAAAATAAATTGAAAAAGAGGAGTCGCCACCAATGTTATTTTTTACGGAAAAACATTGGAAAAACCATAAAATAGAAAATAGTCTGCGAAAACCAAATTTTTGAGTTCGGGAGTCGATTACGTATGAGGAAGGTATTAGCATCTCACAACGTT